AAGATTCATAATTCGATGGTTTCACATCAGCCCGGAGGTGGCGGAAGGTGGACTAAGTTTCAGGGATTGAGAGACTGACTGGGGAAGACGCACCCAAAATGCTTGGGCCGTTCTTGAAATGTGCTTCCCACTTCACCGCACACCTAAATTCTGTAACACGGTTCAGAGATCGCAAAAAAAAATCGATGGAGAAGACGAAAATCTGCCATCAGTTGTGTATTCTGTGGTTTATTTTGATCAACCCACAGTAAGCGGAGCGTGTCCCAAAGCATGAGGTACCCTTTTCAAAAAACGAACCTCCAGAGCATTTTCGCGCAAAGCAAATGCGATATTCGTGCTCAGTGCTTGGGGTGTTTTGCGTCCACCTGACAATATCGTATCAAAAAATGCGGCTGTGATCAGGAGGTCAAGCAACCCCTGAAGAAATTTCTAACAAAATCTAGCTCAGAGAAAAAACTAGAGAGGATTTCGACAAAAATATGATCTGAGTTTCGATGAGTTGGGTGGCAAAGGGTTGATGATGACAACTTTCTCATCATCTGCCAGGTTTTTGACAATTGGTGGTCAGTATTCAACTGAACAATAACATGAAAGCTGCTACCAGCGAAGTGCTGACAGGACACGCAGAACGAGTTCAACCGCGGCTGTGTTTTCTACAAACATCTGCCTGGTTCAGGTCGGCGACTACTGGTTAAAAAAACAATCGTGTGTGGAATCACTCGACACCTCCTGACACGCCTCAACGCTTTGCCGCATTATGCACAGTATATCAAGAGGTAGATGAGACCTAAGTTACAACAATGAGGGGCTTCGAGATGTACACACCGAAAGGCTGAAAATTGTCCACAGAAACTGCACAGCTTAGTTAGGCTTTCTAAAAGCTTCAACCGAAAAGGCTTCATGCCTTGCAACCGTGCCAAGAAACTTTGAAACAGCTGACAAACGAAGAAAGGGATTCGCCGTTAACCAATCCCCTTTTAGGATGCCGCATGCACTCTCTTCCATTCGAAAACGTGAGTGGCTTACGAAGTGCATACGGTTACGCAAATGATTCGGCGTTCTGATGTACAAGTCGCGAAGTGTTTGTAATCTTCCCAGCGAGTAGTACCAGATTTAGCGTCACATAAGTGGAGGGAGGAAAGGTAGGTTGGCGGTGGTGGCAAGGGTGTAGCTCACCTCGCATACTGAGATCTGATGTTGGACCACCGCTCAGACAAACGCCAGTTTCAACCCTCTTCGAACAGTGAGTTGGCACAAGGTGCATCTGAAAGGACGGAATAACGAAGCCACATGTGGGCTTTGAGATAGCCACATTGTCAATGAGTTATTTCTTCAGCGTTTCTACCCGCGCAATGTAGCAAGGTCCGCTCGTCTTATGTGCACGCCCACCTTCTCCCGACATGACTACGCAATTGATCCGGGATGGGTGCCAACCACCTTCAAGTCCGCATGCAACGTGTCTGACCAGCGCTGCTTGGGGCGTCCTTTAGGCCGCTTTCCGGGAACTTCGAGCTCAAGACCAATCCTACGGACGGTGTCACAACTCGCGCGAAGAACATGACCATACCATCGAAGGCGAGCTTCGCGCATTTTCTCGGCCACAGGAGCTACACCGAATCTTGATACCACCAAGTCATTGTGCACGCCAAATCGTAATCATAATACCAACTCGACGCCGAAAGTAGAATACTTGGCGGATCGTGAGAAGATTAATCAACGCCGAAACCTTGATCCTCATTTGTTAATTCAGGAACTTGTTGCCACCAGGGCACAACATCTTAAAATGTGAAATGGTGCTGTCAGCACGACCTGCCCCCATTTCCTCCTCCAGTACGACTACTTGTCACCTACTACCTTAGCAAACTTCCAAGGTCAAATACGACCACAGTGACCAAGCATGACCCCCTCCTCCAATGCAATTCTCCCACGGTCTATCTGGGCTACCAACCGTTAACCACCAACCTGTCATTAGAGTCACACCTCAATTCGGAAAATGTTGCGCACGTCGACAAATAGCCTTGAAAATCAGTGACTACTCTTGATTAGGCTAAGAAGGAGCATTGGACGAAGATTTCTGAAGCTTCCTTGACTTATTCTCACCCCTGGTAAAAGACCGCCACCCTGGAGGAAAAGTGGGTGTTGGATGAAGAAAAAAGATGACCTGCACTACTCGCCCAACACGCTAAAAGCTGGAAAAGGTATGTAAGTTTCTGGCAGCCCTGATATTTAGCTATATTTCCTTCACCAACACTGCAGACATGGCAAGAACCCCAGTTGGGCAGTCCGAGGGGCGCAACCGAAAAATGGACAAGAGATGTTATCAAAGCACTCCGCCAATCAGTACATTTCCCCTACCTTCACATTCGGAATTTACCGCAGATTTTCTATAGAAATTCAAAGAGAGCTTGTGAATTCTGTTGAAGATTCACAGACACAACCTTCACGCAGAAGAGTGACTAGGAAAATGGGCTAGGCAGGATCCGCTGCATCCACATACTCTTGTCAATGGTTATTATCATTCGACATGGAGAAGAGCACCATTGGACATCACAACAGCGAAATCACAAGAAACTTTCTTACTGACGTTTGGTTTCTGGGCAGGGTACACCGGTGCAATTCGGCTTGGTGGGGCATTTCGCCGGTTCCGTGAATCACCGCTAATGCCTCCTCTGTGGACCTTTATAAATTCCTGCAAAGCTACACAATGGCATGAGCATCGTTTACACTTTACAAGAGTCTAAAGGTCTTACAAAGGTAACGACTGAGTTGACAGGAAATAGAAGAAACTGGCGAAAGTGCAAAATGCACCCTCTTCAGATGAACAGCGCCGAGGGCCCGATCATTCTCCCATTGAGAAACCGAACCGTCTTCTGCCATGGGTTAAGCGAGATCTGATACTTAAATCTGATACAGATCCGCCATTGCACCAAAGGAAGTTTTTCCTCATCGGCAACGTGTTCTCCGTCTCTACCAAGGAGGGGGAGGGGAAGGATTCAAGGTGACGGTGTACACTTTCGAAACGGTTTGCTGCATGTTGCAGAGGTTCATGATAGAACCACAAAACCTGCTAGACAACGGAATCTTGCATTCTTACAATTTTCTCGGTGTTACACAGCACCATATGAACCCTACAACTTGCAACTACTCGTTATCAATAGGCTCTACCACTCGAGAAACCCCTTCCCCCGTCCTTTGTAGGTGGGTATTCATTGTCCTGATCACGAAAATGACATTTTCTTTTAGCGCCAGGGTTGAAAACCAGATGTGAATGTTACGAAGGCAAGGAGCCTCAAATAGCCTATTAATAAGTTTACAAAGAAATGACAGGCAAAGGTTGTGACAACAAACTGGCGGCAAAATGACGATCAGAACGCTACCGTCCCCCCTCCCCCCCACCACCTCAAGAGCAAACAGCTGTAATTTCTTTCTCAGGTTCTGGTTTTTTACCAGTTAACAGCGCCTAATCAAGCGACAAACCATTCTAACAACTAGAGGAGGGAAAGAAGTGAAAAGGAGAAAACTGAAAACCACGGGTAGTCGGTGTTCATTGATAAACAAGCCCGTTCGGCTGGCACCAGTGACAGTAAGGCTGTATTGTGGGACGAAACAAACTTGTATGAATACAGCTTTTGTATCGCGGTGACGCTTACGTAGGACTTGTTGCTTTGCTGACAATGTGTAGTGCGGCGGACAGAAAAAGTAGGGGCCAGCCTCAGCTCGAACACTACAATGACGTCAAAGTTACACAACAATGATTCTGGCACTTTCATTAGCCTATGGATATAGCTTTAAGCTGAATAAAGACCAGTACACGTTGTGAATCCCTAGCGAAAAAAAAGGAGGGGGGGGGTCATATTATTGGGTTGGGTGGGTCGCATATCCTTTGAGAAAACTGTTTTCCGAGTTGACACTGGTTTTTTTCGCTTCGTGTGCGCGATATACTCCCGGTCGACGGCAGTTCTTCGGGGAAAAGGTGAAAAATTCACTGGAAAAAAGTTTTAATATGGTGCTGTCCCGGAGCCTCATTGTAATCTGAACACATAAAAGAGGCGCCAAAAAATTTATTGCAAAAAACTCAAAAGACTCAAAAGAATCCAAAAGTTCTTGCAAAAAATTTTTATTGTTTCTAATACTTCCTTCGAATATTTCGGTGCCTAGCACCTTCAGCGATCTGAAATGTTATAGTTAGCCGCCTGCAACCGAAGCTAAGGTCCAGGATTCGGTTGCAGGCGGCTAACTATAGTATTTCAGATCGCTGAGGAAGGTGCTAGGCACCGAAATATTCGAAGGAAGTATTAGAAACAAAAAATTTTTTGCAAGAACTTTTGGATTCTTTTGAGTCTTTTGAGTTTTTTGCAATAAATTTTTTGGCGCCTCTTTCACGTGTTTCATGTTCGAAAAAAAGTTTGTAAAAAATAGGAAGTTGGGAAAAACGAAAATGATAGGCAAGAGTATGGTGGAGGGGGAAGCAGTCGTACCAAAGAGGACACTCTGAGGGGGATCGCGTGCTGAGTCTACCAAAGGTATTGCTTAGGCTGGCAAGTATTTTTCTAGTTGACTTCTATACTTCCCTTGCGCCCTACCCGCTGTTTAGCACCTCTACTGAACCTAATGAAGGACTGGATGTCTCGCATGTCTGTCCCACAGCGTGCCCTTTCTCCGCCTCGTCAGTTATCGCATTACGGGCACGTTCTGCCATGGGGGAAAATTCTTACAAAATGCCCTCAAAATTTTTTTCTCTGGTACGAACCCCTCCCCTTTCAACATCCCCCATTCTACCTATCATCTTCTTGAACTTTTCCAACTTCTTATCACTTTTCCAATTTTTTTTTCAGATTTCCCTCCACTTCATCGCAAAGAAACTTCTCAAACATTTTTTCGCGAAGGCTACTACGACTTCCCCCTATTCTCAATTGACAGATACGGACCCCGCCCTCGCTGAAGACCTGAACGTGCGACGTGCCTGATGGTACTGGGAAAGACTTGCTCCCAATGTTTATGAAATTTGGGAAGTTTATAGAAAAACCACACTAAGCGCTTCCTGCAGCTGCAGTGCTAGCACTAATGGCCTTTGTTGAAATTGAACATCCTCAAACAATAACGGCAGGATGTGTTCTAAATATTTTCGGAAAGATGAGAGTTGAAGCGAAAATATTAGGTTGGCGGGAAAGTTCTGTCACATTTTTCAAGCTGGGCTTTATTTTTATAGAGAGGCGTGTAAGATCAAAATTGTACAGCAATGTTACTGCGGGGTCCTTGCCAGTTTTTGAGCACCTCATGGATGCCATCGCTTCACAATGCAGGGAGGCGCGATACAAAGTTGGACATCATCTCAATCTTGACTTGAACTCAGGTTATCGAGGTTTTCTCGTCCATATAACAGTCGAAGTCGGGAGGCCAACTAGGCAATTAGAAAGAGCCAATGTCCTGGGCTACACCAGTGCAAGGGGAGAGCCATCCAGCTCTATTGGATGAGGTACGGCTAGAATTTTTTTGGACGGAGTGGGCTGCACCATCACGTTGAAGACGGACTGTGCCGGACGAAAATTCCCTGGCACGACGATTCGCTTCAGATCTCGTAGCTGCTTTGCGTAGGGATTGACCGAGAAAGCAGCTCCTTCATCTAGCAGTTTCCCGACCCACAGCTCCCTCAAGTTGAGTTCACAGTTACACCCAAATCTCACCTCGTCATTCAAACTGTAGGCTCCCGCTCTGAAGAATTAGCCTCGTGGAAGACTTTCTGATAATGTAGACATCGTCCTTATTCAGATCCATTATTCTAGCAGCTGCAGCTATCGTGCTGGCGTCAGGGTGGTGAAGAAAAGCTTGAGGAAGCGTTGAGGGAAGTGGTCAGACCGGATGCAGCGCCGGATAAAATCCTTGTCCATATTACAGAAGAAGAAGAAGGCAGGAGTCAAGCGAGTTGTACTAATATAAAGACCAGTGCTTGATATATAAGTGCTCACACGCGTCGCTACCCTCTTCAGATAAATGGGCAAGTATTTTGTTCGAAAAAGTGTGACAGAACTTTCCTGCCAATAATAGAAGGGAAAGTGTAACACAAGATTCAGTTCGGAGTGAGTCGGTTGAAGTGTTTGTCGAAGTGAAAAGAAAAGAGCGGAAAAGAAAAAAAAACAAGCAGGTAGGTAGGGAGTTGTGCGAGGCAGAAGTATGAAATAGTAGTATTACATCACTACTCAGAGTGTGATCCCTACTTACGCGTTTTCAGGTCTGTCAGCATTCCTTGAGCTCACTTAAGCGCTTGCAAGAAACGTATCCGTACTTAGATCCCTCCGCTCACACGAACGCCTGCATCGTACACCGATCCTTCTCCCTTCCCGGTCTCTTCACAACGCGCTCGAAGCGATCCTAAGGACGACGACTAACGGCTACGCGAACGCCCAAAACGCCTGCCGCAAGTGATCGAACGTTCATCGCATTTTTGCAGTTCTCACTCTTATTAAAGGGTCATGCCTCATTTTATGGGAGCATCAAGTGAAAAAAAAAACACACACACACAAAAGTCAAAAGTGAAAACTCCATACGAAAAAAAAAACTGCAGAAGAGAGAAGAGCAAAATTATGGTGATTAGGTAATACGAGAGATTTCCGGTTTAGAGGACCAAATCAGATCAAGAAAATCATTCTATTGAATTATTTATATGAGAGTGGAAAATCCGAAGAGTGTGTGAATCCGCTAAAAACTAAAAAGTATCAAGCAGGAAAGGCATACCTTTATCATCTCAATATCGATAAGCCAATCAGAGCAGATAAGTACAGTGTGGGAGATTTGAATGAGAAAGGCTATCAGTTTCACAATCTGAAAAGTTCTGCATGCAGTTCGGAAAGAACAAGCTAGACAATCATAAAAACAGTGAACCAATCAGGGATAAAGACAGAGAAAACCTCCTCGTTTGATTGCAGTTTTATAGTTCAAGGTTCTGATTGCAGCTAGGCTGCTCTCATACCTTTCTTTTGAAGGTTTTTAGCGTTTTACGAATGACGCCAGTGAAGCCGACCTTTTCCAGTCTAGCCGCCAGGACACGATACCTGCGGACTCCTCTCTACGCCCAAAACACTCGAAAACGTCGCCAATAAGTATGAAGGTTAGCCTTTAATTGTAGTTCGACTCAGACAGTGGGCTAAACATTTCGAAGTAGAGTAGTAGAACTTCACTAATGTCGTCTCATGTAAGTATAGTCTTATGACTGCACATTATCCCAAAACTCAGCCGGCTAGGAGTACCACATTGTTCCAAAGATGTAATGATTGTCAGCGTGCATTCATGCTTTGCGACATGAGGACAAGACAGAATTTCGAGTAGTAAGGCATAGGTATCGATCCTTTTCGGCGTTTGCCAGCGTTTTGAGGGACTAGAAGAGTATTGAAAGTGATCTAGCCTAGCCTGTTAGCCTCCTCTTACCTCGCTCTTTTGAAACAACCTTCACGTCACCAAAAACGCTGGGTGAGCTGAAAACGCAGTCGCATACTTATGCTCTTCCCTGGCCGCTTGGAAACGCTGGCAGGCTCTTGCGAAACACCAGTCTCGTGACCATTCAATTTCCTTGAACAAACGCTCCAAGTATGTTGCCGCCTACGTCAAAACTCCCTGGCCGCAAGTATGCAACGCCACTCCTAGAAGTACCGACACCCCTCACACCTATTTTAGGAAATGACATTCAAAGTACTGAACACCACTTTTGCCATCAAAATTTTAATGCCGGATGATAAGAAACCACAAATGTTCTCAATGTATCAAAAATTATACAAAGAGCATAGCAAATACCTCAATATAATTGTTAATAGCGTAGCGTCCGTCCCTAGCGAGATCTGCGTATCTCAGTGTCTCCTCAGCACTCAACGAAGCGCGCAGTTTGAGGCCTGAAGCCATTCCGACACGCAGCCAACAAACTCGGTTTACTCATCCATTAAAAACAGTAACCGAAATTACCTGACAGTCCAAAAATATCTGTTTAGATTTCGTTATGTAAGCATGCATTTTCGTTGTCTGGTGACGAGAACTTTCCAGTGCTTCGCGAGAAGCTGGGCGGAATATGTACTGCCTATTGAAACAAAATATAGGCGCTGAGCAATATGAGGCCAAAAAGGGTATGATTCAGCACGTTATCTTCAATCCGCCTCACCTGGTATACATATCTTGTGAATTATTCCCTCCAATCATACTCAGAATAGTTGATTTACCAGCGCCCTGTGGACCAATAGCAGAAATTATATTGTAGTTGCTGTTTTCACCACTGAGGAACTCCTAAAATGGCTGCTAATATGCCAATCGAAAAGAATGATTTTGCTATCGAACTATACTCGATTACTTTTTCTCATCCCTTTTATCGCTTAGAACTGTTATGACACATCAATACAATGAATCATGAACACCTGATAATTGCTTGAAAAAAACATTCAAGGAATTTTTCAGGAATGAAGCAACGACTCGAAGCACGGTTGCCGTCAAGGACGCTTGAGTTATGCAGCAAAAGTCAGACTCCCCCCAGGTGGCGCTCCGACTCTCGCATCTTTCCCACTGACGCGGAGGGCTCGGGCGCTCCATCTTCTACTTGAACAGATTCGTAGAGGATTCAGCAGCAGAACGGAACAGTGCAAGCGATATGGATGGTTTCATGATTAAGCTAACAAAATTATCTCATCTAATAGCTGAAAGCAAATGGTAATTTATATGCAGAAAAAAAGTTGCGATAGACTACGAACAAAGTGGCAACAATGGTTCAGACCAAGTCTGAATCAACCAAGGTGAGGGAGAGGATGTGGGCGAGTGATGTCCTAACCTACATGAAAGCCACGAATCTATGGGAAACCTTACAAATCGCGAAGGACGCAGGAAAGCAAAACGATGGCCAAATAAAACATTTCAGAGGGCAAGGAATCGGTAACCGACAGAAGGGACTAGTTTCTGATGGAGCAGTGCTCAATCTAAGCACGAGCTACTTTGTCAATTTAGTGTCACGGCAGTGGAACCTTGCAGTATTCAGTGGTGACTTACTACTTCACACAAAATGTCTGAAGGTTTGCCTGGGCCTTGGGTAAACCGAGTGAGATACCAACGGCCTTCTCAGGCTCTGACAAAGGCTATAACTGAACTGGAAACGTTTCATCAAGGACATCTACCATTTGCTTCAAGAATGCTGACTTATGGGCAAAAGTTTCGACCTCAGACAGGATTCGAACAACACCTCGCGCCTTCCACGCGAGTGCGCTATCCGGAAAGTGTGAGATGCGTGTTCGAACCCCGCCGGGGTCAAGACTATTGCCCATAAGTCAGTATTCTTGCAATAACTTCTGGAGCGCGGGCTGCGGTGCAGAGCAGATGATCGTAATAAAATGATTCCACCTATACCCGGACCGAGAGAAAAACTGTTGTGGGGAAAGACTGGTTTCTGAATAGAAGTAAACCAAGAATGAGCTCGAAAGAAATCGACTAATGAAAATAATAGAATGTCACGGCAACCCTTCACCCTAGAAGCTGAGAGGGAAGCCAACTATGTGCAGGTCATATCGTCGCGTTCCGGGGTTGGGTGTCCGGAAGCGTGGAAAGAGCCCACTCGTGGCTGCGTTTTCCACCAATAATGGCCGGTTCCAGTAGAAAACAAGCAGTGGTAGGAAGCCACTGGTAAGCCCATCTCACGCCTCCCGAGCCGGCCCCGCCGGATTGTGAAGATATCAACTGTAAGTTATGATATGAGCACGCTTCACGTTTAGCGTTCACATGACGTCTCTGACTGATATTTTAAACAGCTAATCATAAGGATATCTCATACATTTCATGAAAAAGAAATGATCGCATAATTATACAAGGAAAACCACCAATCATTGAAAACTTACAAAATTTAAACCAAATCAAATTCATCATGGAGCTAACTAACCAGCAATTGTTCGCAGACATCCATACTGTCACTAATAAATTTCACACCGTCAACCATAACTGGATCTTTAGCGAGGATGACAGGCCCCTGTTCTTTTTTCGCCTTCTCTGGAGTGCTAGCATGTGAGCTTCGAGCTGCCAGCATTAAACCTGAGAATGAAAATCATTGAGACATCAGCTGATTCTAAACAGCCCAGTGAAAAAAGAAACAAAAATATTTGTATTGTCTGATAAGCGTCATCGCAGTTAGGGGACACTAGCCCGCCGCAAGATGACCGATGAGTTGTAGCGCCGGCGCAAGAATAAATGTTCATACTCTATTAAACACGATGTCAAATAACCTCCGTACACAAGTTTTCATTGATTCTGGTGACATTAGCAAAGATACAGTCTTTGATTTCTCGATTGAAATTTTCATAATGCAGGAAGACCGTAGTTATTCTTTAGCACAGTTTCCTATCTCGTCACATGGCGGCAATTGTACGACTCGATGGCTGTAGAGGAGATTCCACACTCGCAAAATTTCACGTATGAGCAGAATCTGTGCCAGTATTATCTTGGTCGGATAAGCACTTCTCAACCCATCGGAAACAATGGCGACAGGGTGTTTTGGCGCCGGCGCCTGTGGCGCGGCAGTTTTTCGAGCGATTCGGATGTGATATTCATGTTCAGGAGGTCGAAGTAGCCCTAAAAGCAAATTTTCAGCCAAATATGCCCTTTGTAAAAAAGTCGGTAAAAAATCGGCCTTCGTTTCGGCAGACCGGGGAATACTTCATTTCTTTTTATGAGTACACTTGTTATAAGCGGCCGTTCATGGCACTCATCAAAAATAGTCCGCACTTGGGTCACTATTTCTCATGACATTTCAGAGGAGTCTTTAGGCACTACTGAAGCATTTTGTTGAAGCATTTCCCAGACGAAAATTTCACGAGACTTCCCGAAAACTGATTAGAGTGGTAGAACAAAATGGTTGTGCATATTTTCTCCTTCACAGGTCACGCATTCATTACTTGATTGTTAACCACCTCCTTATATATGGTTCTGATGACAGTTATAGTCCCCTGTTCGTCTGTGTGTTGCTTCCTGCGGGGGGTTTCGTGCGCGTACGAGAATGAGATGGACAAGCGAAATTTTTTGAACAAATAATAGTACGAGCACGAGACCATTAGTTCATGCCCTATCTCACAGCGTCAAGAGATAAAGTTTCAGGTGAAACCTGAACGACTCTAGGCATTCTGTTTCCCATTCCGATGCAGTCTCTGGAACTAAACCTATCCTTATTTGATCGAGAATTGTTTGTCCGCCTACTGAAGTCACCATTTCGTTTGAATTTTCACCCATCCCAATCGCGCGATCCAGTTCGCGCGAACTGGATCGCGCGATCGCGAAGTCTGTACGCGCTCTCAGTCTCCCTAAATCAGGGATTAGGCCTAGACAGCAGATGATTGGATAGTCGGAAAGACATTGAAACGCAGCCGAGGGCTGGAAAATGAAATTAAATGTAGGAACAGACGAGTAAATATTCAAAAAAAGAAGGTTAAACGAACGGTAAGGAAGCGCATGATCATAAGCGAAGGTTACAACCAAAGTCTGAAGAAGTACTGAGGATCTCCAAGAAATCAAAACAATGGATTTCCTTGCGGCCGTGGCCATATGCTGCACATGCTCCGCAATGTTTTGATCCAAATAAACCTCGCGCAGCAGCTTGGCTTGGGGTGGAGAGGGAGCATTGCACTTTCGCTACTCCCAAACCGTCGCATTCAGTGCTTTACAAGTGACAGGAACTTAAAAATGTTGACAAGTAGTTTCTCCAGCGTTTGACTGGTATCACTTCATGGCTCCACAGGTTTTCTCAGATTCCCACTCAATAACTCGACACGTCGATGGCAAGATGGGTAGTAACGAATGTGAAAAAGCCTCCCCCCCAAGCCAAACTGCGCCATCTGCAGGAAAGCTAACAGCGAGCAAAAACGTCTCACCTGTTTTGCGTTCTTTTGGGAGCGTACTGCTGTTTCGTTGTTCTCTAGTTGATGTTGTATCATCCTCGTCTCGGCGTGGAAGTAGCAGCTGCACACCGCTTACACGTGACGACAGCGTATCTACGTCATCCTGAATTCAGGTCAATGTTGGTAGTCCCCATGTTTTTGCTATACAACCCGTCCAGGCTCTTCCATAAAGTCATAGAGATGATTAAGGAAAAATATGGGACCAGAGCACAGCATTGCTGAGGGGATTCCATGGGTGTGTTGCACAATAGGTGGGGAGGGGATCGAACACAGCCTTGAGATGAATTCTTCCAAGCCACGAGTGACATTTTTCCAGTTCTTGACCGCCCTCTGGTTGGAGGCGCCACAAAAATACTACTCAAACATATGCAGACAGTATTCCTGATGGTTCCCTTCATGGTAGCGTTCAGAGTTCGCGACGCGATTGCGCCGTACGCGCGTTTGATTCGCTTGCGCTCCAATGTTAAAATTCAATGGACCGCTGCTACTTCAACAGCGTATTTGTTTACCTCCCTTTATGTCTCCTCTGCCTACTTCGAGCTCTCATTTTAGTCTATTATCTTCGTCGCGAAGCCTGAACGCTGAGGCCGCGTTCATACAGCGGAATTATAGAATAAGCAAAGTATAAGTATCGATTTGGAAATTCCGCGGAGGCCACGAAGCCCGCGGAGGAGAAGAACGCGGCCTGATGTGATGATTGTAAATCCTACCGTATCATCATTGCGTCGATTCGTTGTGCTGCTATTGCCAAAGAAAGCAGCATCACGAGCTTGACGTGACCAGCCGCGGAAATGGCCTTGTTCCGCATTGCGTTTTCCCCGCATAACCGTTACTCTGAAATGAAGTATTTGTGACATCTACAAGAGGAAGTTTTTAGAATATATCCCGCGCAGAAAACTCGATACCTATCGTATGCTTTTCATATGGAGTCTATTAAAATATATAAAGAGGCATCTGCGATACAGCTAAGCAATTCGAAAGTTGGAGTTGGCAACGCTCATAAGGCTAGCTTCATTCTGAGATACTTGCGCAATATCCTTTGATAGGTGGAGCTCTTTCATGCATACATAATAAGGGAGGCGTCACCACTGCATCACTAGGAAAGGTGCAGTTATCCGACAGGACGGACTCCGCCCACAACATTAGCGCGGAATGTGGCGCTAAGGAGGTTAACCCACAAAAGTGGACATTAAAGGGACTTATACCAGCGGCTGATCGCGGATTCGGACGGCTTCTGTCAGTGCTGAATTTGTTCTAAAGTATACGAAAGCGTTTTTCTGCAGGTTTACAAAGCTAACTAGAAGCAAATAAACTCAGATGATGGTTGTTACAACAGTCATACAGCACTTGCAGTCGAAAGGCTCGCTCACTCATACGAATCCTCGCAAATGACATGAATTTCGTGTAATATAAAAGAAAATAATAATAAAACAATTCGCAGCAAGCAATGATTGGCCAACCTACAATAACTTGGTGTAATATTCCGTAAGTCGTGCACTATGCGCATACTACAGTACACTTTTATTCCGATGACGTTATGAAAAGTTGGGAAATCGGAGTGATTATAACTGTTTAGTTCATTTTTATGCTGATTTATCTTCACTTGTATTCTCTGAGGCTCGAATAGTTACAATCGTTCGTTTCAAGAGACTCATGTAGAGTTTATTATCTTCAGCCAAAAAATAAGTTCCTAGAGGGGTTCGTAATCCTTCAGGGAGTTTAAATACTTTGCAGAGGCCAGTATGATCCATTAGACTACTTTGGCGCGTTCATTGAGAATCACTGCAAACTTTCTTAGTGGTCGCTCTTGAAAAGCTTTTGACCCAGGCGCGCTCGGGAACGAGCTTTTGGGAAACGCATATTTGTCGCCAGCGGCTGGTTCCACGCGCGCGCAACTTTGAATTCAAACGCGCTGTGTGCATGTGCACACACTCTGAACACCGTAATCTCTCCTGGTCTATTATATACGAACGAACGAATAAACTATGTACTGAATGGATAACCTTATTTTCTCTTATAGTGGGTAAGCGCGCTGCTCCAGAGACACGGTGTCACATGCTGGAATCCACACACACAGCTATGAATTATATTGCAGTTTCTACTTCTCTCTTTTGACTACATTCTTTTTGCCCCTGCATGTTCCATCAGAACGGCGATCTCATAGGTGAGTTTTCACATTTCCTGAATTCTAATATTTGTGAATGCGTCGCATTTTGGTGCTAACGTATTTGGGGGGGGAGGGAACCACGCGGCGAGCGGCGAGCGATGACTCATCCGCTCTATTCTTGCTCTCTTCGGAAAAAAGAAGTAATTTTCATGTTTTGGGACATGGATTAACGCGCGGTCTAGCTATATCAAGAAACTAAAAAGTTTAAGGCTGAAATGTGCGAAGAAACAGTGTAGCTGGAATTTGCACTAAAATACAAATAATTGTTTGCCTTTTTTGTTAGTTCTGACTATAAAAGGTCAAATATTTTTGTTGTTCAGCTTCTGTGGGAGCGCCATCTGGCGCCAGATGGCGTCAGTGACACAAACCAAAGATAATCCGTGATCACGACCTCGGCACCCCCCACCAGTGCCCCGCTCCCTGAATAAGGAAGGGGCTCAGGATACACATAAGATGAGAGAATGAAGGAAGGGATTGATTCAGAAACAAAAAAAAAACAAAAATGGAAGCTGGACTTCGGTACAGTAGCGCTACAGCTGTAGCGCGGCGTAGCGCTAAAAGTCTGAACGCTGCCTAAAGAAGTTTTGCTCAACACCTCAGGTCATCTCGTGGTTTTCCGAAGGGTTCGCGTAACAGCATTCACCGCGAATATCTCGGAAGCCATGACAGAAACCTGATGATTCTCTACGCCACAAAGCAATGGTAATGTGAAGGGGATATATAAAGTGCATGCAAGACAGGTTCAAGAAAGGGTAATGTAGAATGGGATCGAAAATGAAAGCACGGAGAATGGCGACGCATTCACAAATATTAGAATTCAGGAAATGTGAAAACTCACCATTGAGATCTGCCGTCTGAGAACATGCAGGGGCAAAAAGAATGTAGTCAAAAGAGAATGTTAGAAAAACTGATATAATCAACTTGTGTGGATTCCAGCATGTGACACCGTGTCTCTGGAGCAGCGCGCTTACCCACTATAAGAGAAAATAAGGTTATCCATTCAGTACATAGTTTATTCGTTCGTTCGTATATAATAGACCAGGAGAATTACATGTTCAGGAGTGTCAGAGTGTGAGGGTCAGAGTGTGAGGTGTTCAGATGTTTGTGGCACATGCACACAGCACGTCTTGGAATTCAAAGTGACGCCGCGCGTGGACCAGCCGCTGGCGACCATAAGTGCGTTTGCTTTTGGGTGGATGGAGTTGTTTGCTTTTGGCTTCCTTTTCTTTGTCATCTAGCAGGGCGAATGCGTTCAATGCAGGAAGGTAAATTGAAGAGAAATTAAAGCGTAATGGAGCGGCATACGAAGTTATAACAATCCGCTTTCTGTAAATTGCGATTACTGTAATCCGACGAGCTATTGCACCAAAAGGTCCAATATCTTGCACTGGTGCCTAATATGGCTCGGCCGATGCGTATATGTTCTAGATATGACATTTACTGCTGAGGAACCGACATCTTCGACGTCACAGTTCTTTTCTGGTCATACGCCCGCGGATCAGCCGAAAGAGGAGATAGATACAAGCACGGCTAAAATAGCAGATCTAATCAAAGTATAGTAACTTCGTTAGAGGTTACTGCGGTTTCACCTTTATACAGATTCTTTTCAGAGTTTAGACGACACGAAACTTGGCGAGTTCTTTCACATCGAAGACACAGTAAGGTGGATTCAAGACAACGGCTACAAAAGAGTAGCCCTTCAACTGCCAGATCACTTTTTGGGAAGAGCCGCACGTATTGCTCAAACGATTGAGGAGAAAGCGGCTGTCAAAGTGTTCATCTTAGCGGATACATCGTATCGAAGGTATACTTCCTAATATATGCTCACTTACAACAATTTTTCGGGAGGGGTGAAGCAGTGGTAGTTGGAGGTGCGGCGCGACAGGGCTGCTATGGTACATTTCAGTTTTGTAAATGAAATCGAGATTACTGAGATTGCTAATCTAGTTGAGCGTGGCCACGTAGCACCGCCTCTGCTCCCCTTACCCCAACCAGGCAAATTGAGGCGCGTTCATACTTCGCTGTGCGATCGCTGAGATGCGCTATCTGAGCGATCTGGTCGCAAAGTATGGGCGCGCTCTCAGTCTTGAAACGCAGAGGAACAGAGTCGCAGACGCCTACTATCACATAGGAGGGAGTCCCTGTGCGACTTAGTCGTCTGTACTCTAAGCCTAATTTTTGGTAACCTCAGATTTCGTGAATTTGCTTCAAAAGTACAGCGTAAGATTCTAGTTTTGACCGCTAGTGATACATCTTCTGGACACTGTGCCATGGCGCGTAGTTCCCCCTCTCCCCCCTCCCACAGTTGCCTTTACGCCCATACTTCTTCAAACCTATGTTGGGTTTAGTGATGCTACACGATTGTGATGTTCCGGTGGCGAGGCCGAGCCACTCCCGTTTTCTGCTTGTCTGCGTCCTCATTTCAATCACTCACCGAACTTTATTTTACTGAGAGGGCGCAGATGATCAGAGGAACTGAAAACATGCGCCTCTTTTTTATGCTGCCTTTTTTTTCTCATCTGTCCTGTATTGGATTTTATTGGTTTTCTCATACATTTTCTCCCATGCAGAGCGGAAGAAATGCATTTTGTGGGTCCACAGTGGCGATCACGGATCTACTAGCACTTGCGCTATGTACTGCT